AAATGCCTGAGCAAAAGCAATAAATGTAAGATGTCAGAGCCAGAAGAATTTGCGGTTCTCATATGTATCATCAATAACATTCTCTACACTACACCAAGCAAAAGAGTTTGGGAAAGAGTTAGAAAAGTATGTAAACTATATAAAGACCACTTACTGTCCTTTTGGGAAAAACATGTTCAAGTGATTAGCAGTAGAGAAGTTACGAGCACATTTATCATTTCTTGTAGCACTAATTACCCACCAGCATTTCTTTCTGTCAGGCTATACTCCAAAATAAATTCCACTGCATTCAACTCTTTCAGCTTTAAGCTTATAATAATGATTTTACTATGCTAGAGCTAAAGAGAGCCTTGGTGCAGATGCATAAGACTAGCCCAGGTGAAGATGGTGTTAGTGACAAAATGACGGAACATCTGTCCTGTAAGACTGCCCTTCTTGCTCTGTACTTTTTGAGTACAGAAGGAACATATCTTTCCCAGTGCATAGAAAATAGCTGTTGTCATTCTCATAGTTAAACCAGGGAAAGACCCAAAAATTATCACAAATGATCTGCCCATTGCGCTTACGAGTTGCTTATGCAAGCTGTTTGAAAAAACAGTAAATCATTGCCTAGCCTATTTCTTAAAAAAGAATCATATAATATCACCTTTTCAGAGTAGTTTCCATAAAGGAAGGGCAGCTATAGATAACATGCTGCTTTTGGAAACATTACATACATAAAGTGTTTGTAAAATGAAACCACTCTGTCTTTTTTGGCATAAAAAAGGCTCATGATAAGGCATAAAGATATCATTATCTTCATGAAAGCAGCTTCTTTGGCTTGTTGCTTCATGGAGCAACAAGCCAATTTTCATTGAGAACTTTTTGAAGGCAAGTATTTTTCAAGTCAGGATTGGCTTTGTATTATCAAATACTTTAGAACAAAAAGAGGCTGTGCCTAAAGGCTGTATGTTACTCTGCTTAGTTTAAAAATGAACAATATTATTTTAAAGGAGCTTCCTTCTACTGTGCTGGGATTTACAAATTAGCTGTCAAAGAATATATATGAGATATGTAGAGAGGCAGCTGCAGATTGCTCTAAGTAGCATACAGGAATGGTCAGACAGACAAGAATTTGTGTTTTTGAAATAGAAAACTGTTTGCATGCATTTTTTTTTTAAAGTGAAGACTGCATTCTGAGCCTAAATTAACATCTTTATAGATCGCTGATTCCAGTTGAATCTGTGAAGTTTTTCAGTGAAGTTTTCAGGGCAATTTTTGATCACAAGCTAACTTTCTTTGCTCATGTCCTATACCTGAGAAAAAGGTGTTTCAAAACCTTAAATATCTTAAAAGTCTTGGCAAACATCTCCTGAGGTGCAGAAGGCAGTGCAATGCTTCACATTTACAGAGCATTCATTCATTTAGAGTGGATAATGGCTCAGTAGTATATGGATGAACATGGTCTTCAGCGTTATTGAAATTAGGTCCTGTTCATCATTAGGCTCTGCATATTTGTTCTGGAGCCTTCAGAACTTCTCCTGTACCGAGTTTGTATGTTAATTCATACGAATCGCCACTCCAGTTGAGGTGTGAGCAGTTATCTCTTCTGCATTATTACAGTATTTATTGTTGCAAATTGGACCATCCCACTCATCTTCTTTTGCATGATGACATGTGTGACCCCCTGTTTGAAGCACAGCCATCGTGCATCTTTTCATTTCCTGTAAGGGTTCGCTGTTCTATAAAAGAATTGCTTGTTTTTATGCAGAAACTCTAATTTTAATTGTAAAAAAAAAGAATTTTTTTAAACCTGTTTTAATTGTATTTCATGTTCATTTCCCTGTATTTTTCAGTTTTTATTGAAGGTATTTTGAGTTTTTATACCTTGCTGTGAAGTGAGAACTGAATTTGAATGAGAAGTATATCTCCAATTAAATTCGAGGGAATAGTTTAAATGAAATGCAGCAAAAAATGTGTACCATTTAAAAGGCCATACAAGGAAGTCATGTGGTGTCCACATCAGATTTTTTACTGCTAAAGTGCAACTTTATTTTGATCTACGCAACATTTTTTTACCACAAGAATATTTTGTGCAGCTTTTATTTTTTACTCTTATATTTAAAATTTATTCTATTTTAACAACATTAGCTATTTTCAAAAACTGTTTGATTAATTATAAAAATCAACATATTATTATATATGTAAATATAAAATTATTTACTAACATGTAGCTTAACTCTAATAATAATTATGTTCAGATTTATCAATGAATAAATAAATATTACGTTTACATAAGTGTAAAATTAAATCTTTGCCTTTAAAATGTAACCATTTGACATACTCAAATTTATACTGTTTCCATTACTACAATTTTACTCACATTAATATGTCTAAGTGATCTCCTTTAAAACAATTTCTTTTTTTTATTATTATTCATTAAATAAAAACTTTGTTCACACTCATCATTAGATGCCAAAAATGTTTCGTCAATATCCATTAATTCTGAAAGTTTGAAAAATTCTTCATTTTGTAATGAAATAGGAATCTAATCAGAAATAAACATAAACATGTTTTGTAAATAAGTATTATTTTCTTTATAAAATTCTTATACTGCTGAACACAAACAAAAATGAGATTTTAATTGAAATATAAAATGTTATTGGTGATGACATCTAAATTTTAAATATAATATTAAATATTTTATGATAGAAATGTCAGTACTTTCATTGAGAGTTAAAATATGAAAATTGGTGGAATTCATAATTTATTTTTGCTGTTTGGTATCTGTTTCTATTAGCTAATCTTTCGAATATGGTAACAGGTAGTTTGGCGACATTTTGGTAAGGCGATAAAGGTTACTAACTAGGACTTTAGCAATAATCTGAGAAGTACACAGTTCGAATCACAGATTATTTTGGCTCAGAGAAATGAGAGATCATGAGACATGTAATGTGACATTTTCCGGAAAATTCCAATCGGGATTTTAGCTAATAAGCACTTAGAAACAATTTCACTGCTAAAGTGCAGAATTGCCCACTTATTTGTTTGGTGCTTTTTACAAGAGTAAGGAGAATTGGATTTTTGTGAATTTTCTTTGACTTTTTAAGTGAAAATAGGTCAATGTGTACATGGGTAAAGTCAAGAGTGTGCGCAGTGCCATTTTTGTGCAATTCTGGGATGTTTTTTTAAGTGAAAATAGGTCGACGTGTACATAGATACCGTGTATATGCAATTCTTAAAAACGCGGCAAGCAGTGGGCAATTCTACACTTTCTCCCAATTCCGCACCTAATCTTCGTCATGATTAAGCACTTTTGTTCCATAAAAGTTCTAGCATAAGCGTAATTCGGCTAGCAGATTGTTGGGGAAAATGTTGAGTTAAAAAAAAAAAAAAAAAAAAAAAACTTGCCTTTACTTTGTGAAAACAAAATGGCATAAAAGGTTGCTGTAGCAGGGTTTGTCGCCAAAGTTTCGCCAAAAAATCGCCAAATTACCATAATCCGAAGATTTACTGAACTATTTCATTAAGCAATTCAGTTTTAAAATCACATGTTTTTATTTTCTTTTGAAAGTTTTTCAAGGTTTACATATGAATATATGAACATACAGTGTGATGCATTATTTCATATATTGCTAGCTATATATGTGAGCAATGTACCACATGCTAGTTGCTCTTAATGGTCACTTGACTTACTACATTAGCAGACACTACAGCCGTACCAGCACCATTTCCTAGAATCGTATGTCCCACATATTTAATACGAATGAATATATAATGAGCATATTTAATATGATTTATTTTAAAAGTAATGTAATTATTATTTTTACTATTTTGATTACTGTTATTTTCTTTGCCCTAAATTTAGGGAACTCTGATTGTAAATATAATGTATTACAGCATTCATTAGATAACACTGCATGCTACTCTTCTTGATAAATACAATAATGAGATTTTTAAAATTCTCAGTGCATAATTATTAATAAATACCTTTGTTAACATATAAAACCTGCTTGTCTTAAGTATGCTGTAGATACTATTTTTGATAGTCAAATATAAAACACACAGAAGGAAAATGGTAAAATGGAAAAGGATTTTTTATATATGGAGTAGACTGAAATTGCTTGGGCAATTATGTAACTGAATAATTTGTAAAATATTAGTTATATCAGTTTATTGGCAGATTAGCAGTAATTAGTAATTAATCCTAAATTTGCATGTGGAATGTAATTGGTCGTCATCTGTCTGCTCTGCCCCAGCTGTTTTCAGAGGATTAACTTTACAGAAATGTCCAGAGCATGTGGACTTCCATCTCTCAGGGCACTAACTGAATCTGTATCTCATAGGGTTGCGGCTTGCATTGCCATAAGAAGTGGTCATACACCTTACTGATTTCCTGTAAATTTCAGCACTGTATAGATATATCTTTCTATAAATAACATCACGTATGCTTGCTCTGTCAGTGTACCATTTGACATCATGTTCCATCCAATCTTTCTTGGTATTGCATTTTCTGTGTCGGGCTGTGTACATTACGAATGTCATGCAGCATGGCCAAAAAATAATCTCCCCTTTTATTAATGAATCTCCACCAATTCTTCTGTGAGGTAATATGATAGCATTGACGATGTAGTACTTTGCATGTTGTGTAAAATCTTTAGCTACAAAAATCCTCCAGCATAATTCATTTGTTTGAGTATTAACACCATCTGATGCATTGACAGTTTTTGTCAATACTGCAAATGGTACTAATGTTAATGGTACTATAGACGGTGTTAAAGAAATGATTACAACATGTCAGACCTGCAGATGTTACTAATATTAATGGTACTGTAGATAATATTAAAAGAATTTAAAACAAGAACTAGTTTTTGTCATCTAAAGATAGCTAACTAAAATTGGTATCATCATTCCATACATGCTGTCAAACTATTTTTAAAAATGTAATGTGTAAAGTTTTAGATATGATTTCTCTAAATTATAAAAAATTTATATTAATTCAGATTGTTATTCTATTTCAGACAGCTCTATGTAATACTGCACTAGATAATCCTTGCCGACAAACAAAGGAAACTATTGTTGAAAGTACACTACAATTTCTTGCTGCAGACACTCTTTGGTACTTAGTTTTTGTATTCATTTAATTGGATTCGTTAAGGCACTTCATTTTATATTAATATTTTTTTATATATGCCTATACATAAATAAAAATATAGAAGGTGTCCATAATTTATTCACCGAATAAAGGTATGTTTAAAATAATACAGAACAAGAGATAGGGGAAAAACTGAATGAATTTTAGTTAGGATTTAAAAAAAAAATTTATATTAATCCATCTCAACATGAGCGTCATTAGTTGCTCAGAGAATATCAAGTCTTCTCGATTTCCCTCTGAATGTTATTAAGCATTTGTGGAGTCATAGTTGCCGTTTCTATGGTGATTCAGTTATTTAATTCTTCATTGCTGCAAATCTCATCAGCATAAACTTGGTTCTTGAAGTATCCTCAGAAAAAGCAGTCGAGTAGCGTTATGTCCAGAAAATGGGGTGGCCATGAAATTGATCCACCTCTACCAATCCAACAATTTGGAACTGTTTCGTCAAGCAAATCATGCATGTGACAGTGGTACAATGACCAAATGACTAAAGATGGACGATCTACAGAATCAATTCACTTTACTGAGCAAATGATCAGCACTCCGGCGAAAATGGAATGGCAGTTCTTTAACAGTTCACCGAGAGCTGTTGTTGAGAAGTATGCCAAAAATTTGATTCCTCTTAATCTAAACACTAGCATTCTTTGCTTTATTATTTGCTGGAAATGGACATATTTTTTATGTATGTATATAAAGCAAACCAAATATATTGTATGTATATAAGCTTTGGTTTGCTTTATGTATGTATGTAAACTTTTGGTTTGTTTGTGTTCTAGCTTGTATTTAAAAAAACAAAACATTAAATAAACTGGCACATCTCAGCAAAACTGATCACCCCTGTTTGCAAATGGTTGCAACCCCCTTCCCCCATCTTTCACTGCAATGATCTGTTTAAAGTGCATAGATTATAGAAACTAGTTCCTCAGATTCGCAGCTGTCAGCAGTTCGGTGTTAGTGGTAGATCTGGGTCCCTTGGAGTCGTGATTTTCCGCTCTTTCATTGCTCCTGCTGTAGCAGCAGATCTGATTCTTACTTTGCCAGATGGCAGGAAACTTCCATTTAAATCCTAGAAAATGTAAGGAAATAATTATTTTAATGCTTTTTTTATTTATTTATTTATTTTTTACCCTTAATTTTAGCAATACACATTCTAAAAACTCTTCTTTATTGCTTCCTTAAGTAGGCATCTCGTAGACTGCGCCTTACAACATCCTATAATAGATTTTTTTCCACTACAAACAACTCTTGTTTAAATAGTTTTATATATATATTTGTCAATAGAATTTCTATTAATGTTTGCAATTAAATGCTAAGGTTATTTATATAATATTTATAATCATTAGAATTTAGATATATTTAATAACTAGATTTTTTCCCAGTAATATTCAAAGGAGTTTATGAATGAATAATTTCTTCATTTCTAAATACATTTGTAAATAATTTAATAAATTATATGTACTTTATTAAAGGCAAATACCTGCTTTTTACAAGGATATGTATAAATACCCGTATATATTTAATATTCTTCTTTTTTGGCATGTGCAAATCTTTATTACTGTGCATTCATTATATTTTTCGAGTAAAGTAATTTACAGTAATTTAGCATACATCAGAATTTTTACATGAGAAATATGTGTAAATATAAATTGAATGGAAATTGCATGCAATATTTTTTATATGAACTCAAACATCAATTTTCCTTTCAAATTCCTCCATGAAGGCATCTCTTCCTTTTGGCAGATAGTCCTTGCATGGGTAGCAAAGTGAGGTAATATTTTATTTTTGAAGTTCAAAAGCAGTTTATTACTCTGTTGTTGTTGTTTATTACTCTACTATCGATATGACTGATTATAGATTAATTAAACTTGTGTTTTAAGATTTGTTGACAAAAATGGAAATACAAAAGAAGAATTTTTCGGTTTTAGTAATACTGAAAGTCACGATTCTGATTCTTTGAAGGAATAGTTATGAAATTTACCAATGGATATAAAAACTGCAGTGGGGGGCAAATCTATGATAATACATCAAGTATGGCTGCCAAATACAGAACATAACAAGCAGCAATAAAATATATTAATATAGCACCCTTTGTACCATGCATTAGCTATATCTTAAGTTTAATAGGAAATTGTTCTTCAGAATACTATACTAGCTCATTACATTATTTTGATGTTGTTTAAAATTTATATTTATATTTCTGGACATCTATTCAGTAATGGAATATAATATAGCACATTCAGTGTAACTTAAAGTTACAGTCAATCTCTACATATAAAATGAATAACTGGCACTAGATGGGTATCAAGAGCAGACACAGGTTCAACATTAAAACTTAATTATTCTATTATAAAAGAAGTCCTAATCGAAATTATTATGTCCAATAATGTAAAACCAATTAGTAAATCAGAGATAAGAAAATTAGTGGAATATTTCAATGAATATGAAAGTCTTTTTAACATATTGACGAGCAAGTTACTGCAATGGATAAAGAATGCAAGCAAATAATTACAAAACACATATAGAATTTGGTATTCTTTGGTAATGCAAACCAAGCCCAAACTCCTAACAGACTTAGAGTGAATTATTGCTTCATCTGAAAAGAACTGCAAAGTCTTAAGAAGGTTTTAAAGCAAACCTTTTCATTAAATCAAAACTGAAACATAAATTCATGTCTCATGAGTGATAGATCAGCCAATCATTTGTGACAGTGTAACTTAAAGTTACAGTCAATTTCAGGATTTAAAACTTAGCAGCCAAAGGCTACACAATTGATTTGAAGTGAAGTTATTTTGAGCTAGCAAAAACATGGTCTCAAGAGACAGAAAGATGTTCTGAATTACAATCCAAACAACCTCAGCTTAAATACTGTGAAACTAAATTTGCATTTCCATAGAGAAATGGAAGGGAGAAGTGAAAGTAAAGATCTAAATCATAAAATAATGGGTTATGTAAAATTATAATAACCTTACACATGTCAGGAAGAACTTTAATGATATTGAGAATGATGTCAGTTTACTAATAGAAAATAGAAACTCCTGAGAAACCAGAATTAAAAGAAGAAAACTGCATTTTGAAGAAATACTTTTACATGGAACAGATTTTACTGCAAAACAAAATTTTATGAAAATCATGCATAATGTTATTTGTGATGTACTAACCTGTGAATTATCTTAGGGAAGTGCCATATACAATGAAGTACTAAAGGATTTTTGGATTACTTTTCGGTTTTAAAATCCCTATATGCAATTTAATGAATCTGAGAATATTAAAATGATATTATAAATATTTTAAAGATGAATTTTTTTTATTTTATTTAATTCATAAAAGAAGAAAAAATGTCATCAGTATTTATTGACATGTACGGATGATTAATTGTGGGTATGCAATCTACATTTCTAAACATAGAAAAAGTACTAAAAATATTTTTAAAATAATTTTCTTTCAAAGTACTTTAAATCATAGGCTTTCATGAAATGTTATTTAATATTTTATATATAAGAATTTAAAGGTTTTTAAAGAATAATTGCTAATTAAATACATCATTTAACTAATTCTTTAATAATTTCATATAAAGTATTTTGATTTATAGAAGTCATATTAAAATATAGTGTTATAAATGCTGTAAGTGAAAACCAAAACAGGGAAAAAAATTGCATCAGATTTCTTAAATTTATAAAAATGTACAGTTTTTTTAGGGGAATCAAATACATACTGCAAGAAAGTATTAATATATATTTTCTTTTGAAGAACAATGGCATAAAAAGTTACTGCAATAACAATTCATGAATAAATATTATTACTATACTTTTAGTTACAGATCTATAAATCCTCCTGACTTTTCTGACTTGCAAAAAGAAAAATGGGATCCAATTTTGGAGTGGTTTCAATCAAGGTAAAAAAACTTATTTTAAGATACTGATTTATAACATTTGTAATATTATTAGACAGTTTATATCATAATATTGGCATGTATTATTAGAAAGTTTTATGCATAATATATGCAGTCAGTCTCTTAAAAAAATCTGATGTGTACACCACATGACTTCCTCGTATGGAATATTAAATTATACGCATTTGCTTGCATTTCATTTAAACTTATTGGATTGAATTAAATCTACTTCGCCGACAGCACATAAACCACAATAGAATAAATGCATTCTTTAAAATTCACCTTAGTATTTGTTTACCATAGCGACACTCTGGCGCTAGATTCACTTAACAGTATTAATAATTATATAACAGTTAACTTATATATTTCGTTTATATTATAACTCATAATGCACAAAATTTATATCATTTAAAGAATAGAATTATCTAATCGTTGCCACATGTTCTATTCAAATACTATAATAAAGCTAGAATGATGTATAAAAGAAATTAAGCAAACAAAACAAAAAAGAAACAGTTTTTCACAGACGATTGAGTATTTCTCGTTTAATTAATTCAGTTCTCACTTTGCAAGAAGGCAAAATTACATAAAAACTCAAAATATCTATATTAAAAATTACAAAGTAAATCTTAAACACTTATTTCCTCGAAAAAATTCCAGAAAGAATTAAGCATGATTTAATTGGCAATAATAAATGAATGCGTTACATTTGTTGTTGCGAAGCTAAGTTTTTCTAGATTGGCAACAAATCCACTAGTCTCCTGTTTCAAATGTAAACATCAATGGCTGCCATTAAAAAAAGGCTTAGCGGCACTTAGACAACTTTAAAATTGTTGATAATTCTAAAAATATTGCATACAGATTTACTAAAGGTATAAAAACCTTAACTCGAAGATAAAAACAACACAATACAATCATTTTTAAAGCAAAAAATGTACAATTTACAAACATATAAGACTAAAGAAACTGAGATCACTGAGCCGGGTAACAGAGTGGATATATATATAAATATATGATAAAAACAGTAAATCAACCGTCTCAATGCTTCAAAATAGTCAAGGATCTAATTATAGACTTCTGCAATTTTAAACTAATGAACAGTAATTTTTTTCACAAAAAACTTTTTTGTACTATTCAGTTCAAACACCCTTCTTACGATAAGTTAAAAATACCTAGCATTTTTAAAAAATATCAGCACTTGCTTCCTGACCAACCACTCCAAATTAAACCCTGTTTTAAATTTGAAAAAAACCTTAGGTCAACTAGTTATCAACCACCACGTTCTACAAGATAATAGCAAATATAACTTGCCTAATGACCTGTCTACAAAAAATATGTCGATCCTTTCCACGAACATGTTATTACAGGAGATCTTAATATCATTGAAGATGTTGAATTACATAACCTTTTGCAACTTGGCACCAAATTTCGTCCTACTTTCGGTATTAATAGACATGTCTGCCTCAAACAATTCAATAATGATCTTGATAAATTTATTATTTTAGCTAGTAATAGATCCAATTTACCCACTACAACTTTTCTTGAATGGAAAGCTACACTTATTAAAGAATTTCAATGTTTGCTGTTCAAGGCACCTTGTTTCAACTCTTTACACAATAAAAAATGCCTGGAGGATCTAATTCAAAAATTGCAAAATCACTTTATCATCACGAAGATTGACAAAGCAAGCAACAATTTTATTATTATTTGACAACAATTCTACTACAACCCTCTGCATAAAGAGTTAAATAACACCTGCACTTACCAAAAAATCACTACCAGTGCTCAGATTCTTCTCAATAAATTTAAAGCACTCCATAAAAGACTAAAAATACAACCCCAGAAATATAACTACAGGTTTGCCAATCTCTATGCCTTGCCTAAATTTCATAAGTCTCCAATAAAATTCAGGTTCATAGCGAATAGTACCAAAAGTTATCTCAAAGAAATAGATTATCTCTTTGCACAAAAACTTCGTATAATACGTGACCTAATCAATAACTTTGAATTTGAGGGTTTGCATTGCAACTGGATGATCTCTAGTAACGAACTAGTTCTTAAAACTATGAATTCACTTAAAATAGACCATATCCAATGCTACGACTTTGAAAACCTTCATACATCTCTACCGCTCGAAGAAATTTTTACAAGTTTACTTGCTCTTCCAGATTTATTTCCACAAATTTCTACCATTCTCAGCAACGAAAAATGGCAACTATTCCTTACCAGCGTGCTCTTCAATGATTTTATTCAATTTGACAATAACATCTATAAACAAGTACAGGGTATCCCTATGGGTGGTAATTTTTCAACCTCTGTCTGTGAATTATTCCTTTTTACTAAAGAATTGACCTATGTCCGTTCACTCAGTACAGAAGAACGTCTCTTTTACCAACACATCTATAGATATATTGATGATGTCATTGCATTTAATAACTACAACAAAATAGAAATAGCTAATATCTACTCTGCATGCTTAAAACTAAATAAAACAAATACAGAACAGCATAATGTAGTCTACCTTGATTTACATATTATAGATTACAATTTTATTAAAGTTTACGACAAAAGAAGAGAATTTAATTTTTCCACACTTAAATTAACTAACTGGAATTCAAATATTTCCAAAAGAGTCATACTCAACACAATTTATTCACAGCTACTTAGAATAAAAATAATATGCAATACTGCGAAACACTTACAAGAAGAAATACTATACTTCGTAACTATTTTAAAAAGTAACCTAATTCCTCATAAAATAATTAAAAATACCCTTACAAAAGCTGGCATTAGCCTTACCTATTTTTAGATTTTTTTAATTAGATAATGATATTTTATGCCTAAAGCCACGGACGGTTTAAGATGGATGACTAATTCAGAGAATCTAATGTAAAAAGTGTACAGATAATTCTTGTTTATTCATTCTCTTTCCTCCAAAATTTTGGCACTTTATTTTTAAATACTATTGTGTACATAGTTTTAAATTTCTATAATGGCCAATTTTACTGCTTTTATTAACAAATCGGGCCTTTTCGTTTTTCATAGTACCTTGATCGCCCGCTAGCTTGAAGAATTACGACTTTTTTAACAAATGACTGTTTTTTTTTTTTTTTTTTTTTTTTTTTTTTTTTTTTTTTTTTTTTTTTTTTTTTTTACTCTTGCTTTAATGGCCAAGTTTTTGTAGTTTTAGCTGAATTAGCCATTTTCACTTCGAGACAAAAATTTTTTCCATCCAACTACATGCCAGGCGCCATTTTTGAGATCTTTTCGCGTTTTTCCGAGGTTCCCAGCCCCTTTCGATAATAAGAGACGAGTTGCAGATAACGAAAATCTCTTCGTATTGGCTAATGCCCACAGAACTTCGCTCTCCCCTACATACGTCATTCGGATGAAGTACACAGAAGGGAATGCAACCACTTTTCAACAAGAGGGAGAGCTTTGCATAGCCACAGGTCAGTTTTTTGTTTCTTTTGTTACAACATTTTCTTGGTCTTAGCAAGACCCACTTAGTTTGTTATCATCTTAATTTACTTTTATTTTATTTTAATTACAGTTTTTCATTACAGATTTCTAAAATATATAAAAAATTAAATTGTTAATCTTTAAGCTTGCAGGCCCAGCCTGTATGTTTTTTGTATATTTAGGACTAATAGCTGACCGCTATTTATTTTCGTTTTTATTTTGATTTTATTTTTGATTTTAATTTTGATTTTAGTCTAGATGCTAAGGATGTTTAGGTAATTGTTTTAACATATATTAACACCTTAATAATGTGTCATTTGGGCGGACGCGTCGGGAAAATTGGAACAGAGAATTGAAGCTCCACAAGGATTTATTCCAAAAAAGATATATTCGGGAAGACACATTATGTTCTAAATTTATAAAAAATTTTGTAGCATTAAACAAGAGCTTCAATAGTCTGTTTCGGCGAAACGCGTAATGGGGTTAGCTTGATTCGACATTCAAATAAATTAAATTTCCCTTGAAAAGCCAGTTTGGAAGTCAAGGTGGGCTAATTTAACATTTTCCGCTTACCTTTTTATCTGATTCTGTTTTTTTAATGTTTTACATGTTTAATGGTTTGATTTTCATATGTATTTTATAACGTGTTGAACCTTTTGGAGCAGCAGCTCTTGGTAACTTTTAGACGAGCTTACTACATTTTTTTATATTTCACTTATTTTGCAACATATTGCGCAAGATGTTTTCTAGACCAAAATTAGTTTTTCAAAATTGTAATTACTACCTTGCTTGATATATAAATATATTTATATACGTTTGGTGCGGCCGATTGCAACCAAAATACGAGGTGCACATCTACATGTTATAGCAATCCTATATACAAAATTTCAACGTTCCGAGGCTACTTGTTTTTGAGTTATGTAAGATACGTACGTATGTACATACGTTCGTACAGACGCCATGAAAAATTCTCTTCAGAATTAATTTTAAAGCAGTTTTATAATTTTTTTGAAGGAAAAGAGTATTTTTTTCTGTCCTTACATACAGATATCACGCAAAAACATCGTTAAATTGCGTTCGATAGTGGTCAAAATGGATATTTTCGTTGAAATATGCTGCCTGAAACTTTTCGCGATTACAATACTTCCTTTTTACTTTGTACAAGGAAGTAAAAAGGGAGACAATCCTGTATCTCTCTTTTGAGTTGGTTGGCTGACGAATGAAATTCAATTTGCATTTTTCATGTCTTAAAAATACGACTTAAGGTATTATATATATATATTACATAAATATGAGGTATTATGTATATATTAATTTATATATAATATTGTTCTAAATGTATTTTGATACAAAACGGTCTTTTCTAAACTGATATGCTAATTTTGTTCCATAATTTGAAGCACAGCATCAAATTATGTCAAAGTGCCAAGTTCTGTAAAAATCATATGAGCGGGGTTTTTTTTTTTTTTTTTTTTTTTTTTTTTTTTTAAGTAGCATTAAAATTTTTATTTTGGTAGTTTACTAAATTTTGTTTTTATCTAAAAATTTTGCTTTTTTTTAGCTTCTTTTCTTTCTTCTTTTATGATCTGAAATTATCTTTACTACAAATGAAATTCAGACATTTTTCCTAGTTTATTTAAAAATAACTTTTATAAGTTTTCTGAAAAATATTTTGAATAATAACTTGTAAAATTTTCATGTCATCATTAAGTAAATATTCTTTTTAGCATATTTCCAAAAAATAGAATTTTTCATTAAAAAATTGGGAGGTATATGTAAATTTAAATAGTAAAAATTTTTTTTCAGTGATTTCAAAATTGGCATAGAATTCAGAATAATAAGATGCGAAAGCAGAGCATCATTCTATTTTACACACCTTAGGTTCTTTTTCACTTAGATGAATTTTTCTTTCCACATTATTTTTAATGAAATTTAACATATTGATTTTTATCAGGATATTATTTTAAATATTTTAGATTTTAAAAATGTGAAATTAACAGTTTTGCAAAATTGTAACTGTATTAAACTTTTAGCAATGCTATTTAAGGAAAAGTGATATGTGATTAAATCTAAAGATAGGCATTTTGTTTATGTCAATTAACATAGTGTCTGCATTTTACAAACAGATACATTAAATGATAAAACTATGGTTTTATATAGCGGTTTTAGAGTTTTAAAACTCCAAAGATCACTGTCACAGAATTTTCATTCTTAACTGGATTATGTTTGGATAATTGAGGTTCTACTGTAAAATAATTACTTTCATGAATTTTAATCTGTCTTTAATATGACATGACACCTTTGCAATGAAATAAACATTTCTATAAGTGGTAAACAACTTTTTTTTTTTTTTTTTTTTTTTTTTTTTTTTTGTACAAAGCATTTTGCTTTTCACAGTCCCTATATAGATTTATTCTTATTCTCAACATTTGAAGTTTCAAAAATGCATCTGGTAATCATTATGCATGATAATTATTGCAACTGAAGCTTGATTTTTTACTTGATAGTATATTAATACAGTATATACATATAAAGCTGATTTAAAAATTTTTTCTCCTCCATTTTTCTGCCCTGCTTTGTTACAGTAAAAGATTTAGGGATAACTCATAGAGCCTGATTATGACAGTATGAGCCCTATGCATAGTTTTTCTTCAGGAGCCTCTATTGTTTATCTTCTCATGTTCTCATGAAAGAAAAACAGGTTTTGGGCATTCCAGGTCTTATTGGCTCAGAGCCAATAAGATATGGTATGCCATGGTTTTTGCCAAAGGGAACTAAGTATGAAGAAAAATTACAATCTTTAAGATGACCACACATAGATAGTGGAATACAATTTAGAGATGTTATATTCAGTACAAGTGTTTGTAGGGTTCCAACCTTTTATCTAATAGCTAAGTGTGTAGGAAACTTATGAACAGGTAAGCGAATAATCACTTTAGCTCAGAAACAGAAGTGTAAAACTCAAGGGTTAATTACCCTTTATTTCTCAAAATAAGAACTTACAGTCAGCTCTTTCTCAGAGCGTACAGCAAAGCCTCCACTTGAGTTAAGTTTTACTTAACTAATGCTTAATTAGTTAAGTTTTACTTAACTAAGTACATTAGTTAAGTTTTACTTAACTTGTAAGGATCTTAAGTTTTACTAACGTTTATTTTATTTTAAATCTTTACTATCACTTCTTATTTTCTACTTCCGGCCAGAATTATAAGCGTGAAGGTTTTTATGCAAATTTGTCTGGCGAACGCCAAGTACTTAAGTTGTGGCTTTTTGCCAAGCGAGAGAGAGGAAGGAGTTAGTCGAAGCAGGCCGCTTACCTTAGAAGTTTTACTCAGTTGCTGGTTGCCTTCCAGGCCAGAGGTTTTAATCCTCTTGATAATTTTAAACGTATTGTAGTGTTCAACAGTTCTCTGTACTACATACGGCTTCCTGTTAATATAAGGCCAATCTTCCACGTTATTATTCCAAAGTTAAATTAGAGTTTAGTTTTTATTTTATATTTTACGTTAGACCACAAGTGGTGGGTCTTGTATTCCGAAGTACGGAAATTATTGTAAAGAGAAAATAAAAGGGTTTTGTATACCCTTCTCTGTATCCTGTCTACTTCCACAATTATTGAACATAGCTTTAGTAAGCTCTCTGTTCCGAGTCAGGTCCTTGCATGTTCCCGAAGAAGTAAGAAGGAACATTGAACCTGATAGTGGCGCCCAACGAAGAAGAATAACCATGGCCGAGTTTCAAGAAGAACCTGTGCTGCCTGCAGAAGCGGCTCAGAATCCAGAAATGCCAGCTGCCGCCCTGGAAGGATTTGGGTTACATCGTCCAGACCATGCGCGCTTCGATGAAACCAGAAGCAACATTTAATGGAAACTCACCGGTAACCAGTTTTTTGGAAAAATTGGATGACCACTTCATGCTCTACCCACCCCGTGCACGAGTTTCCAAAAAGTTACCTTAGCTACCAGCGCTTTGAGGGGCCAAGCGCTTAATTGGTTCAAATGTATAGGCAGAAGTCTCTTGGGTCAAGCAGGAAGTCCCACCTATACTTACGAAAATTTCAAGACTGCCCTAGTAAAAGCCTTCCCTGTCGTAAGGGATCGTGCGAAATTAGAAACGGAACTTTTTCAGCATATATCAGCAAAATCGAAAATCTCTCAAGCTTTATTTTAAGAAAAATTCACGTCTTTCAAACTCTTGTATGGAAACCGTCCGGATCCTGAGATAATTCAAGTGATTTTGCCGAGGTTACTTCCCCAAGTGCAAGACTTTATTGAATTAAGAAATCCGACTACACTGGAAAAGTTATTTGAGCTAGCAATCCAGTTTGAAAGTAGAAGAACGGCGGACATTGAAAGAAGACGCCAATATCAACAGCGAAACCAATTTGGTGCGCCAAGACCACAGCAAACTCAAGCACACGGCTACGGAAGCAAAGCGAATCAGTGGGCAAGGAAACCCGAGCATTCAAAAACAGCCGGCGAACGTCGACAGTTCAATAGCAATCCCAGGAAAAAAAGTCTCAAGGCCAGTGGAAAAAGAAGGAAAGCACAAAAAGGAAAAATAATTTAAACTAAAACGGATTTCTGCTGACGGGAGGGTGCGGAAATCCGAAGGCCAAGAAAACCCCTCTTCCTTCAAGTTAAATACAGTAATGGTGAAAAATTTGACTCTTCCGAAGATTGAAGTGTTGGTGAATAATATCCCAGCCACCGCACTCCTGGATACAGGCGCGCAGTGTTCCTGTGTGGCAGAAGATTTTTTTAGGAAAGTATTTTCGTAAATACCGCATATATAATTCGGATAATACGACAGTGTTAGCTGGCGCAAGGAGAAAGATGTAAGTGCGTAGGTAAATTACCGCTTTGTATATCCGTATCAAGGACGAACAAGTAAAGGTTATGTTTTTTTATAGTAAAGAATCTGCAAGCACATATTAATCTTAGGAATAGATTTTCTTTCAGAGGCACAAGCAACGCTGGATTTTAATGAAGCGTCCCTTAAGCTGACGATGAAACCAGTTCGTGAAGAAAAGGTTGAACCGCCAAGGTTAAATCTTGACCACCTGCCTAATGACGAGCAAGAAGAATCCGACAAGTGGTAAGTGAATTTGCTTCGTTATTTAGTGATATTCCAGGATTTACTCAGGTTACTAACCATAGTATTGACACCGGAGATTCATTGCCAGTTCGCCACAAAGCCATACCGGTATGATAAGAATAAGGAAAAAATTATAGAATGGCATATTACCGATATGCTACGTAAAAAGATCATAACGCCCATCTCAAGTAGTTATGCTAGCCCGGTGGTTTTATGTAAGAAAAATAATGACTATCCTTTGGAGCATCCAAAAAGGTGGAGATTCGCATTGACTACCGTAAATTAAACTCCATAACTAAATATCCGGTATATCCGTTACCTATTATTGAAGAAATTCTAAGGAACATAACATCACCAAATATATGACGACTTTAGACTTAACGACTGGTTATTTTCAAATAGGGGTTAGGCCTCAGGGACGACAGTGTTACGATTTAATGCATGATATCTGGAGAAGACATTATGATTTATGAAACTAAAACAATTTATCTGACCCCGAAAATTGATTTTTCGTTTTATCGAGATGGATGCATAGTGTCAACGCCAGTTGTTTGCACACGAAGAGTAACTATCATAAGTTTCACTGCTTGCAGATTATAAACTTCGTTTCTTCGAGCATGTGTTGACATATGAATTATCTTCCAAAAATACTTAGTCATGATTTGAGATACCGAAAAAACAGAAATTCTCTTTGTTCCGTAAAATTCTGAAAGTGGTTTCAACATATTTTGGTCACTTATTTAACTCAAATTTTAATTCTAACATTTGAAAGAATTTTAGAATTGAAAGCTGATAAATAACTTTGTTCTATCTTTCAATCGGCAAGTAAATTCATAAATTAAATAAATTTATTCTTATTGTTTCTCTTTACGTCGTGCACTGTTTACTTTTGCTACGGCTTATTAATTATTTAACATACTTTTCCACGCGTGCTTACAAACGCTTTATTCCAAAATGGGAATCATATTAATATTTGTTATAAATGATGATGAAACGATTATTTTCTTCTGATTTATGAAATCAAATTGTGTATGCTTCGTCTTTAGTATCCTCTGTCATATATTCTTGAATTATTTTTAAACATCTTTTTTGTGATTATGTCTCTCTATGATTCCATAATTAAAAAAAGGATTTATTTACAAATAAATGCTTCAAACAAGTTCGTGTATACACTGGTGTGCAAAAATTAAGGACGAAGTCGAAAAATTAGCATATCAGCTGAACGAAGAGGCAGAGCGGACAGAAAGACCAATCAGGAGATTAAGTAAGGTGATGTACGGTAGCACATGCGCAGATATGCAGGTAGACGTAATGGGGGAGTGTCTGAGTAGTATAAAGCATGTTGTCGGTGTAAGATCAGTATTTATGGCAAAGAGATTGCACGCCGTATAGCAGTTAAAATCCCACCGAGTTGCTGCCTCAGCGAGAAATGGCGAATAATCAATTTGTTAGACGACATCTGGATGCTTTTACCCGAGGTCGAATCATTGGGAAGTTGGAGGAAGGCCGCAGTGTGACAAGTGTGGCTGCAGAGTTCGGAATTGCTCACAGCATCGTTTCACGACTTTGGAGACAATTTCAAACTACAGGAACAGCTATCCGAGGGTTTAGTAGTGGTCGTCCACGAGGAACCACACCGGCAGATGACCGGTATATTGCCTTACAGGCCAGAAGAAACAGGTGGCAGCAGCGGGAGAAATCGCTAGACACACGACACAGGCGACTGGACGACCGATATCGCGTTTTACCGTGGCCAGAAGACTGCACGGTGGTGATCTGTTTGCACGACGCCCTGTACGGTGTGTACCTCTAACGCCTGCCTATCGGAGAAGGCGTTCTCTGTGGTGCCGGGAATTGGAGAGACAATGAATCTGGAGAGAGCGGGGAAGCCGCAATCATCCCTCGAAACATCATTGAAAGGGACAGTTATGGAGGTGGCGGTGTTCTCGTTTGAGGAGGCATCATGCTTGGTAGTCGTACAGACCTTCACATGTTCGACGCAGTTTCAGTCAACGGGACCCGTTATTGTAACGAGATTCTTCTTCCATATGTGCGTCTTTTTAGAGGCGCTATGGGTCCGCAGTTCCTTTTCATGGACGACAATGCACCATGTCATCGCACAGTAGCTACCGAACAGCTCTTAGAGAGTGAGGATATTGAACGTATGGATTGGCCGGCACGATCTCCGGATCTCAATCCCATCGAGCATGTATGGGATTTTTCTAAGCAGACGCTTGGCAGCCTCGTATATTACCACCAGTAACGATTCTGGAGCTTCGATTGGCGCTGCAAGACGAATGGGCAGCAATGGCTCAACAACGCATTGACACCCTCATTCTCAGCGTGGGCAGACGCTGTGAAACCTGCCTAGCAGTCAGGGGAGATCATATCCCCTATTAAAGACCGGATGTTTCTTGCTGGACACCCATCACAGGGATGTTTCGGCCTTCAGTCGCATTGCGCTCCATGCTACTTTTTCAATAAAGCTTCTTTTTATCCCTCTGATTTCTCTTTTAGTAAGTGTTGCTTACATTACTCATGTCCTTACGTATTGGGGATCTTACGGTATTAAATGTGTTGATTTGGAAAGCTTTTGTACAAAGTTATATTGAAAAAACCGACTCGCCCTTATTTTTGCACACCAGTGTATATTATACTACCAAATTAAAGCCACCCAATCAATCAGAAGGTTAAGAAGATTAGTAAAGTGGGATCATTATATGGTGATTTAATCAAGATGGCCTTGTGTTTCCTTTATTTTTAGTTGTGCCTGTGCCTAAAAATGCACATTATTACCTATCTTATTATTACATCATTATCCATTTTTTTATCATGCGAATTGAAAGTTGACAAATAGTATCGCTGGTATGACGATTACGACTCTGCGACGTTAGGATCTATTTCGATCCTATGCAGTTTCCTTAGAATTAAAGCCACATGCTTAAATAATCGAAAACAAGCAGCATTTTACGAATTTCGTAATTAATTATACTTTTTTTTCGTTGTTGGTTTGACATTTTGTAGTGTTTTATCATTATAAAATTATTTACAAATGCCATTCAAAATATATATATTTTTATCAATTTCGATTTGTTGTTGGTTTGCCCGTAATGCATAGTTTTTGTTTCCTTCTAGCATGCAACTGCAATCAGTATGGGTCTGTTCGAGATGACTGCGAACAGATGACTGGGCGATGTGTCTGCAAGCAAGGCATCAAGGGAATGAAGTGTGACGTCTGTCCGGCAGGAACTGTCCTTGGACCAGAAGGATGCATGGATGGTGAGTTAATAAGAGTATCTGATTACTTTGAAAGATATTCTAATAAACAAATTTTAAAATTAACGTGGGATTTTATTAGGTTCTATAATGTCAATGCAGTCGTATGGGTATATAACTTTAATTTTATTACTGATATGAAAATAACTAGTAGCAAGTTACGAGCGCCATAGAATGGGCTTTTTATCAACATATGTATTTCAGAAAAATTTCTAACATAGCTTAAAGCTTAAAATTGCGATTTTAGCTTTATGGTTTTATAAACTTTACTTATAATGGTTTCTTTTATTTTTAGAAGTAGATAACTTAAAATATTTCTGGTTTTATAAACTTCACTTATAATGGTTTCTTTTATTTTCAGAAGTAGATTACATAAAATATTTTCTAACATAAAAATCCATTATGCTTCCGAAAACCGATTCAAGTGCAATTTTAGCATTAAAATTTTAGAATTGTTAAATTCACTTAATATAACAAAATATTGTGGAATACCAAGATAGACATATATCTTCAACCTCAAACCTTAATGGGAAATTCTATATGAGAAGTACTGACAGGGGAGTAAGCAGCTCCAAGTTCTTCACACTGATTAATTTTGGAATTATCAGTGTGATTAATCACCAACTGATAATTTTGGAATTATCAATTGGTGCTTTCATTTAAATCCCACTACTTCTTACTACTTGCTTCATAGTCTAAATCTTTTTGTTCAAAGCGTATTGCATTTTGACTGCTAAATGAATTGTATATTCACATACTGCTGCTGCAAATTAAAAGGAAATGCTTTAGCATAATTCATTACAAGTTCATATTTTGAAATTGAAATTATAATTACCCAAAGATAAATCTAAATTAAATTTTTAGAAGTAAGAGTATATATTATAGTTAATAGTAAGAGTAAGTTTTTTTGAATAAATAAATTGGAACTTTCGTTATCTTCATCATCAGAACTTTATCCCCGGCCTTAAGATCAAAATCTCTTCTTTTCCTGTCATAATACAGTTTTTGTTTTGCTCTAGCTATGTCTCAGTTCCTTAGTGCCTGTTCTATTATTTTTGAATATCATTTATTTTAAATTCTGCCTCTCTTTTCTGATAAAGAACAGTTTGTCTAAGGGAGTAACTATATTTCTCCCCAAAAATAATTCAGAAATAGTTTTTCCCGTGATATCGTGCTTGGCCGTTTTCAGGATCAAAAACCAACTCATTGACGCAGTCATTCTGGCGTCGGTGATACGTTTTTACACGGATGATTATTACAATGTTCCTATTTATGCGCTCGGCAATATTTGATTGCGGTCTGTAGCGGACCAACTTTAAGTGGTGGATGCCAAGCCCTGCACACAACTCTTCCAAAATTTGGCTAATAAATTAGGGGTGGTTATCTGATATTACTGTAAGTGGTGCACCATGTATGCGTTTCTGAATGCATGCATTTATGCATGCATTTATGCGTGCGAATCCATCGGATACAATACGTTCTTTTATGGGAAACTATTTCTACCCATTTCAAGAAATGATCGACAATAACTAGAAAATATCTATTTTTATTACTTTCATCTTTTTCGGTAAGGGCCTAATAAATGTATCCCAATTATTTCATTTGGAAAAGTAGCTCTTATACTAGTTAGATATCCGGCTGGGCTGTAATTTACATCGTTAACTAATTGGCACGTATTGCAGGTCCTGGCATATTCCGCTACCGTTACCACTTTTAGAAGTTGCAGGAAAAAAAACCCTCCTCGCGCATTCTTTGCAACGTTTTTCGAATGCCAAGATGACCGGCAGTAGGTGCATCATGTAATTCTTGCAATATGCTAAGTCGCAAACTGACTGAAATGACTGGCCTTACTTCACTATTCTCATTTGCTATTTTAGTTGTTGTTGCTTCATTTGTATTCTCACTCTTTGCACGTTTTTCGAATGCTAAGATGACCGGCAGTAGATGCATCGTGTAATTTTTGCAATATGCTAAGTCGTAAACTGGCTGAAATAACTGGCCTTACTCACTATTCTCATTTATTGTTATAGTATAAAATAAGATTTGTCAATTATTGCGTATTCTGCTCTATTTCTGATGGTTACTATATCCGGATGTTCGAAATGTTCCGAGTCTTGCAAGTTTGCATAAATATGTCTATACTCTGGATCAGTTTGTAATTCAGAAATAATAGTGTCAGGGGAAACTAATATTTTTGAAGTCAACGTGGAAAATTGTATTTCTTTTCTTTCTTCATCTAGTTTTGTTCGGGATAAAGCATCGTCTATGATGTTTTCCTTACTAGCGTGTGTTTGGTTATTAAATTGAATTCTTGCAATTTGAATGCTTACTGATCAATCGTGGCGATACATTTTTTTCGGAGTATAATCGCCCCACCGCAGCGTGATCTGAGTACAGGATTATCAGTGCCTTATCGAAATAGACACTAAACTTTTGTATTGCTAAAAGTACTCTCTCCATGCCAGTGTAGTTTCGTTGTGTTTCATTAAATGTTTTGGAAAATAGGCTGAATTTCTGCATCAAAACAGCGCCTACAGCATAATCCGTTGCGTCTGCCAAAATTTCGAGATTTTCGTCTCTCTCCGGGAATTTTAAAACAGGTGCTTGAATTAGCACAATTTTCAGTTTATCAACCGCGGTGTTAGCCTCAGCTCTCCACCAATACCTGGCTTTATTTCGCTTCAATTGTAACAGCAGTTCTACTATCTGCGGAAAATCTTTTATAAAAGTTCTATAGTAAGAATACGTGGCTAAGTATAAGGCGAGATTTTTCGCTGTATTTAGCGCCGGGTAATTCTTTATAGCAATAATTTTTTAGTCTTCCGTTTGTATTCCCTGTTTAGAAATTTCATAGCCCAGGTGCGTTAAGCTCTTCTGCCGCGAATTCACACTTACTATCATTTACTTTTAAGACTGCGTTTCTTAATATTGTAAAAACTTCATTTAGATCTTTTACGTGTTGCTCAATATTTTCGCTAGACACATTGATATCGTCCAGGTATATTAAGGTAGATTTTACAAGGAGAGGTTGTTGTATCATAAATTATAATACGACGTTTAGCTTAAGAGAGCTTCTCCTGACGCATGCGCCGTTCGCGTTTATCCGCGCGGTGATGAATGATGACGTAACTGTTTATTACGTATGTATGTATATGTATACCATTCTTACTTCTTCGCCTTTTTTCTCTGCTGTACGCAACTATGTTTAAGATAATCTCTGTCATTAAAAATGTTCATTGATATTACAATCTATTTAGGCTTATTTATTTCTTCAATGGTTATGGGCCCAGGAACGTTTCAACTGTGCTTAATTAACAAAATACCTATTTTAAAATGAACATTTTGAAGTTTTCGAGCATTGAACTCTTAAGCCTAATTCAGTGCAAGAACTGTTACGTCTAATCAACGGTAAGAACTGATCAGCGTTCAGTTAAGCCTATTTTTATAGCGATCAATCTTGTTTTTTTGGCTGTGAGAGACTGTATTACATTATGTCGCATTTGACTACTATAGATAAGCTCGGAAAAGATAATTTTGACAGTTGGAAATTACAAATAGAAGCAGTATTGATTAAAAACGACCATTGGGATTATGTAACCGGTAAAGTGCTAAAACCTGCTGAAGGAAGCCAGGAAGACCAAAAAAGGAGTAGTACCACATATAAACATAGAGAGAGGAAGAAGCACAAATTGCTGAAGATTGAAGATAAATCGACATTAGAAGAAGCATTAAATGGAAGTTATGCTGAAGAATGGCATAAGGCTATGCAAAAGTGAGTATGAAGCACTTGTTAAAAATGGTGATGGAAATTAGTAAAGCGACCACAACACAAAAGGTAATAGGATGTCGCTGGGTTTTTAGAAACGAAATATAATGCAGATGGAACAGTTCAAAGAGAACAAGCTCGATTGGTTGCTAGAGGATTTGCACAGGAAACCTGGAATTGATTTTAATGAACCTTTGCTCCGGTAGCCAGAGCAAGTTCTATAAGAACTGTGATTGCATACAGTACACAACACACCTTATGTGTTATACCAACTAGATTTTGTTATGGCTTATGTTAATGGAGATTTAAAAGAAGAAATTTTCATGGAACAAGCTAAAGGTTTGAAGACCATAAATCCTGATTTATGTTTATGCTTTGCAAAAGTCTTTTTGTTATGTTTGAAACAAAGTGTGAAGACAGTGGTATGAAAAATAGACAAAAAAACTCAAAAAACTTTGGATTAACACCATTACGATCAGATAAGTGTGTATACAGGATGAAAACATCTCAAGGTGAGTTATTCTAATTTATATGTTGATGACTTAATAATAGCAACAACTAGCTGTGATTTATATGCTGAACTAAGGTACTTCTAAGAATTTTGTTAAAGATTTAGGCAAACTTCATTGCTCTTGGAATAGAATTTAATCAAGATGTAATAATAATTCTATTAGTAGTTATCTCAGCCGCAGAAATATGTGATAATATTCTACGAAGGTTTAATATGCAAGATGCAAAACCAGTAGTAGCAACTCCTTAGATCCTAGTGTAAAATTAAGTAAAGAATCCTTCTGAAACTGAAAAGGAAGAAAGAATGAACAACGCACCTTATCGCCGTCTAATTGGTTCGCTTATGTTCTTTCTGTGTTTACTAGGCCGGATATTGCATATGCCATGCAGTCACCTGAGCCAATTAAAACAATCCTGGAAATTACCACGGTTGGCTGCAAAGCGTTCTTCGATACTTAAGGAACTAAAAACTGTTGTCTAAAATTTCGAAAGACTGGAAAAGCAAATATTGGATATATCGATGCCGACTGGGCGTCTGATGTTAATACTAGAAAAATCGTATACAGGTTACTATTCAAGCTAGCTGGAATCCGATAACATGGGAATCGCGAAAGCAAAACAAACTGTTTCATTATCAAGTACTGAAGCAGAGTACATCACTTTTATTTAAAGTGCCAAAGAAGCAGTTTATTTACGTCGTTTTTTAAAGAATTAAATTTACCTGCTG